GTTTTTTTGTTTGTTTTCTTTTGTAATCCATGATCGAATTTTATGTAATCCATGATCGAATTTTATGTAATCCATGATCGAACTTTTTGTAATCCATGATTGAATTTTTTGAAAATTTGTGATTTTTTTTTTAATCCATGATCGAATTTTTTTTGTAATCCATGATAGAATTTTTTGAAAATTTGTGATTTTTTTTTTTAATCCATGATCGAATTTTTTTTGTAATCCATGATAGAATTTTTTGAAAATATGTGATTTTTTTTTTTAATCCATGATCAATTTTTTTGAAAATTTGTTAATTTTTTTTTTAATTCATATTATTCAAAGAGAAAATGAGAGAGATGATGATTCTAAGGCCACCCTATCCCAGCCATATTATTCACATATCGAGTCCCAATAGCAACAGTGTAGGTATGAGCACGACAGTGCAAGTGTGCATGAAAGATGGATAATCTTCGGGGATTTTAGATTGGGAACACAACAAAACACTAACACTCAGGGATTTGGGAATAGTCAGACGCCTGCTAATATCGATGATTCGTTTTTAGATCGAATCAATGAATTGTTAAACGAATTCAATCAATGGCACCGGCGTGACCAAGAAGAACAATAACGTCGTCTATCATTTTATTTTTAGATCATATGTTACTAATTTTATGCTTTATTGTAGTCCATGTATGTTGATATACTTATTCCATGATAATTCTATGTTTATCCTTTTGTGTGATGTAAATTAAATGCTGAATGGCGGTTCATGCAACGGAAAGAACATATCAATATTCGCATATTCATTCAAAAAATGAAAATTCTAAATGGAGTACCCTCATTTCTTATTGAATTCCTAAAAAACAATATTTATAATGAATTTTAATAATTTTTTCGGATTTTTTTTAAGCTTTATTCTGACCGATTCACTTGATTCTCGATCCGGATCGCCGATTCGCCAATCCGGATCGGTTTTTTGGGAGCCCGATCCGGGTCACTGATCCGTTTTTTAAACCATTGGTCTCACATGATTGAGAGATAAGATATAAGGACAGCAGGGCAAAACAAAGCCAAAAAAACATAAGCTTAAGAGATAATGGTCCTGCACTGATAAGAGAAACAATTATAGAAATGTGAATGAATTCTTGACCTTAAACCCTATGTTAAGGCAATAGCTTAGAGTCTAAACATTGTAAGCCTTGACCCTTAAGTTATTTTATTAAGATCAAATTTCTAAACCATTTTGTTAAGGATAAATATGATTCACAGGAATCTTATGACTCGGTGTTCAATGTAAGTCAATGGATCAGTGCAGAAACCAGGTCACAGTGTGGGAATCTCACCAAGTGTGAGTTGAGACAACCTGGGTGAGTCCTGAGTTTGCTCAAAAAGTCCACAAACCACAACCCTTTCGAAATTTAGGCTCTATATGATTTTCCTTATAAGCAACATTAATCAAAAGGAAAATGTTGAGATACAGCATGATACATCAAATAACAAAGTTGCGATCTAAATGAAAGAGAAATTTAACAAAAACAAAGTCATTTCAGATTCATGATTTCCATGATTGTTAAGCTACAAGATAGCATATTCTAAAAAAGGCATCACCTGTGGTTCTTAAACTATGAGTTTCAAGCACGATCATAAGCATTGCGAAGAATTCATCATCGTAATCTAACACCTTATGGAAGAATGGTCGTCTCTGGGCCAACACCTGCCAAAATCACATACTCTCAGTCAAATGTCAAAACGAGGGAAAGAATCAAGATGAGTACTTCTAAAAAAGGACAATCATAGATTAAGCAAACAGTAAATAATGAGGGAATCACAAGCCAAAAATATGAAACTTAGAAAGAGAGAGATCAAAATGATTTGTGTTGCTGATAATAATCCATAGGTTACTAGTGCAAATAGTGCAAACAAAGCTTGTCAAATTTTGAATTTTTTTCTACTGAACAACTGTCACTAGAATCTCATGGAAGTGCCAGTCGAGACAAGAGAGAAAGACAACGACAATTCTTCAGATAATCACATATCACTAAGTTATTGGGAGTGAGAATAGTTCTATACTATGATGTTCCTACAACAAATCAATGAACGCCAAAGGTCCTATACATGAGCTACTATCAACATGTCCATATGTCAAGGGCATCAGCAATGTTCTAGAACCCCTTGAGAAGGACCTACCTCTCAAATTAGTAATTAAGAAGAGGTATAATAAAGGGAAAAGAAACTCTAGATTGTTCACCTGATATTAGCCAGTAATGCGAGCCAACACATAGCTCACGACGAAAGATGATTGAGGATTCTAATATGCATGGTGGATTACCAAGGTGTTTCTTTTTTTTTCTTCCAAAGGTAGGTTGCTACGATTCAAAGCTATACTGCAGCCTTAATGCCCTAACAAAAAGCCAAGAGCCCAACCCAATCAACTAAATAATATTATCTTCAGAAAAAAGTAAATATAGTCTGGTTATTCAAATTTGAACGAAGTAAGTTAGGAGTGTGACAAATCTCTTTCATGCTCGTACATGCTCTCACTAGAGTATAACACAATGAGAACCTTAGAAGCATCATTCCTTCGAAATTTTATGTCAAGTGCATATCTATGGAAGCTGCAATTAACAAAATCTCATAGATATTGCCTCCACTAAAGAAATCGGGAAAACTATAATGTCACCAACTGTCCAGCCAATCAATTACCTAAAAAAGCTCACAGCATTCTGATACAAACCAGTGCTTTAAAAATCGGCCACTCAACTTGGAATCAGCCAAGTAACTCGGCCTCAGCACCAGCGAAATTATATTTTTTTCCCCTAAATCCCTTACAGATTCTGTATAAATATGTTTAAACATAATTTTGATGTTTCTGATTATCCTTTTATCAGTCTTTCTTATTATATGCTCTATTTTTATATTCTTAGTTTTTGGATTTTTTTTCAATTGTTTCAAGTTATCAATCAAAATTTTCCATATTTTATATACTTTTGTCCATCATAAATACAATAAATGGTGCACAAGTATAATCAATCAGTTTTTATTTTGTAATACTTTTAACAAATTTTCTACTTTTTTTTTTTTTGCAGGTCTTGAGCTCGTACATGACTCGTGAATCCACCCAGCTCGGGAAGGTGCTGAGTCCAAGTCCGAGTAGAGTTTTAGCACACTGAAAACAAATATATCCCTTATAGGCAAATAGATATGATCATGCTCCACAACTTCAAAACAAACACAAGCGTGTTTAACTGAAAATAAAACATCAGCTTGTAAGTCTTACAAATAATTTTTCCAAAACATAAGTGGTTATCAAAGTATCCAAGTTGTGCAGTCTAGTTGCAACTTAACTATTGCTACAATATAAGAACCTGTGTTAGACATATTAGTCCTTATAGTCAATAAAAATGGATAAATACAAGCAGTAACCTCTTACAATTCAATTTATCTGATACAGATTACAATACTTTTGTAGTTTCCCCTTGTTTTTGGGGAGCAGAGAGAAATGATTTCACATTTGGAAATGCACCCCAGTGAACTTTTCAGCAAAAACTGACTATAATCTCCTAAATTTTGTCAGTAGTTGTCTGTATTGCTTAAAATTCGTGGCCAAATTGCAATTTGGGTTTGAAAAATTACAGGTGCACAACCAAATTCTCAGTTCCAATGAAAAAACAAAAAAAGAATGTGTCAATACTTGGGTTGAGAGAGAGAGAGAGAGAGAGAGAGAGAGAGGAGGAGGACGGTAACCGAAAGTAGTAGTGTACGACGGCGTCTCGTAGACGGTACGGGTAGGGGAGTCGTTGGGTTAGGGTACGGCCGGTACCTTACTTAACGAAAAGGTAA